GAGCATCTTAGCACATAGATCATATCAGATAGTTGCAAACCAGACAATTATCACAAAGACAATCATCTCATACATAATCACCTACTGGTGGGCCGATATTGGTGCCTTAGACCCACCTCTACTGGAAGATAACTCACCTCACACTGCTGAAGTCCCACAGATGAAACCCTGGCTGTAACGCCCGAGTTTCAGGGCTAAGCATTTTTAGACGATGTAATAGTCTAGGTCAACTATTGTAACCTTTTTGGAGTAATAAAGATGAAATATTTGAATACAATGTGAATTATGTGCTTATTACTTATTTGTAAACTTATAATAAATAAAGAATAAAAATGAGCGTCAAAATTAAAGTGTGAGATAACCCCGATATATTTACATAAAGTTGTAGTGGTCGAAACAAGGATTCCGAGGATATAGAGAGCACCAAAATTCGAGTTATAACGAAGAATTTATGACCCGTCGAAGTTTTTATCAACTGAATCGGCACGACACCGGGAAACGTAAATAGAGAATTTACGATAGAGCGACTTTTAGCTTTAGCGATCTAACCAAAAGTCATAGAATACGTTAAACCAAGAACGTCCATAAAAATAATGCCCAAATCTGACTTCGTATGAGGAAGTTATGATTTTTGTAAGTTTCGGATCGGCAGTACACAGCCTAGAGTTCAAATATTAGAACGAGCAGTATTTAGCCAACACAACCTAAACCAGAATCGGAGATCTCGTTAATAGTAGTGTAACAATAAAAAGATAGACGAGAACGGATGTCGGATGAAGAAGTTATGGATTTTTAACGGACCAATCATGTCCCGACCTGTTAAAAATATAAAATTTAAAATATATCAAAATTAGTTGACAAAGTCTAAACAAAAGTTGTAGAGTATGTTCCCGTGTACGTGTGGATATAAAGAACATCGAAAACGGAGCTTGTATGCGAAAGTTATGGATTTTTGAAGTCGGAGTGTGAAATCGCAAATCTGCGAGGGGGTGATGACGTGGTTGCATCTTAGTTGTTGCCTTCTGATCACGGACTGACCTTCAGATCTTGACACATCGCAGCTCGGACGCCCAACGCTCGCATCGGATGCCCCGCGTCGGACAGGGTTACACCCATCGGTCTTCGGTTGTGCGGTTTTCGAGCATGCCATGATGACCCATCAACGAAGCAACATGTGTCGACCTTATCCAAAGCTATGCCCGGCGTAGCTCTTCCGAATGCCCAGAGTTCCGAGGACCTCCGGCCTATAAATAAATGAGAGGTTTCTCGGATTTTCACACCATTCTCACTTCTCTATCTAACTTCTTTCTCTCTCTAACCCATTCCAACCCCCCTAAACCCTAGGGAACCCCCTAGCACCCGAAGGAAGCCTCGAGGCTCCTAGAGTCCCGAGAAAAAAAGGGTTTTTCAGTTTAGAAACGCTGCTCCAAGCGAAGTTCGGTTTTCTATAAAACTCGCTGTAAGTGAGCTACACCTACGCTATTTTAATATAACTTCTAATTAATTATAGTACGTTATTAGGAACTTATAATAAGTACTTGGGCTATTATTATGGGTTATATAAGTATTGTTTAAATGCTTATATAATGGTAATAATAGCGGGACTAAACCCTAGTGGTAATGATACTAGGTTTTAACGAAGGAAATTGTTTCAAGTGTAACGAAGCGCTGTCTAAGTTCAGAATCACCACCTTGACAGGTGAGTGCATAGTTACTTTCATCTTACACATAGATATGAAGTATTATATATAAATTACATGCTTAGTGTTCATATTATTTGAATACTTACTGTTTATGCTGGATGAATGATTTTATATATGTTTTAAATGATTTAAACTGTATAATTATTTTATATCTACAAAAATGTTGGGGTAAAACATGGGTAGATGTACTAAGATAATGTGTGATAAAATGATGAGAGGCCTCAATGTTGTTGTCGTTGATTCTGTCATCTAGCGGAGTATGGATGACCACCACGGACTCTTCTAGACAGTCCAGTGGAACGCTAGCAGGCTCGCAACATGTATGTGTTTGTGAACGATGTGTTCACCGGTGTACTCCATCCCCCTCATGGTTGCTTTAAGGACATTTATTGTTGATGAATCCCCTTAGCATTAGTATCCATCTCGATGTTGATCCTTAGTCTAGGTCCCTTATGATAGGTGTTTTAGGGACGTAATGTGAGGATAACGGGAGTTGGTAATCAGGTTATTGTTGTTTGTTGAAATTAATAAACTTATTTATTATGGGTTGAAAACCCTATGTGCTCACCGGGCTCCTAAGCCTGACCCACTCAGTTTCATGTATTACAGGTAGTGGCACATGAGCATAGATGTTTGGATGAGAGATAAGGGATTATAGGCTTGTAAATACGAAATAATGTAGTAAGGCTTATGTTGTACTATTTATGCTTTTGATCTGTATCGAACATGACATCCTGAGTCTTTTAATGAAATACATTTCTTTGGAAATGCTTTTGATAAAACTTTATCATATTTTATTTTGGGACAAATTCCGCAACACTTTTACTTAAAATGTTACTCTGATTTTCAAACAAGCATAATCAAAATCAGTCTTTTCTGGCCGTGTAAATGGGGATGTCACACTGGCAGTTGGATGATAGCTTCTCGAACTGTCAATATCAAAACAACACCTAATTAATAATTGGGTTCCAACACAAAAATCATAGGTCCATGCTTGGAGTAAAAGACTGTTTTACCCCTATCTTAGCTTGATTCAACTCAAGGCCCAATTCAAAGGCCCAAAAGTTAAACTATGTACCAAAGCCCAACATATGGCCTAATTTTTCTAAGTGGGCCCAAAACTTTACATGGTCTTATTATAAGGCTCAACCATTTAGTCCTGTCCAACATTTGGCATTTCTAATGGCCCAATATCTCATAATCGTTAAGGCCCAATTATGGCCCACTTATGGCCCAACTTTCTAAATTGGGCCCAACCCCTTATATGGGTCTTACCCTAAAGCCCATCCAATTATTCTAGTCCACATGATTGTTCTTGAATGGCCTATTACTGGCCCGATCACCAAAGCCCAATGGAAATACCCAACTTAAGGCCCAAGTGAAATTAGGGTTTTCACATAAAATGACGATTCGGGTTAAGTGTTTCTCACTTAACCCTTTAAGGACTTAATCCATTAAGTTCAATATTGCCTTATATTAATTGCAAATGATTATAATTAATTATTTTAAGTTTAGCAAATAATTCCAGTGCAGGTCCCGATCAATCCCCACAATTAGGGTTTCATGACATTAGGGTTTTCCAAACCCTTATTAGGGTTTCCAACCCAAATACTAGCCCATTAGTCACATGATTAATATTTTAGATCACTATGGGCTTTATTGGGCCCATTAGGGTTTCATTAGGCCCACTAGGGTTTCATTTGTTGGGCATCACCCACTACCACCTCGAGTAGTGGTGATCAATGGCGGCTCATGGCGGCAGCCACCCACTACAAGAAAAATGCGATTTTGCAAGGGAAGGTCGTTATGGAACATCTTTTCGTTGTTAATCTGCAACAGATCGTGCTATGGAATGTCGTTCCATAGCTAATTTGCTACCACATTTTCTATGGAATTAATTTTCCGTAGAAAACATGATAATTGCTATGGAAATTGTTACGGACTCGAAATCCGTTGGTATATTGCTATCGGTATTTCTATGGAAAACCATTCGTAGCAAATTTTCAATGGATTTTTTTACGAAAATACTTTCCTTTGTAATTCTGCTACGGAATTAAATATCATGGTTAATCTACAACGGAATTTTTCAACGGAATAGAATTTCATAATTGTTTCGTTATGGAAGTAGCATTCATAGCTATATACCTGCAGAATTGTGCTAAGATATTTTATTTTTGTTGCTTGTTTTGCTATGAAAAAAATGCCTAGCTACGCTGTGAGGAATTTTGTTAAGAAATTAAATTACATAGCAAATTTGCAAAGGAGTTCAAATTCTTAGCTATCTAGCTATGGAAATTTGCAACAAAAATAAAACTCGTGGAAGTTTGACTATGGAGTCTATATTCGTTGCAACTTTTGTTACGAAATTTGTTTGAAATTGATATTTTGAAGCTACTTAGCAACGTATATTAGATACGAAAATCGATTATGTAGATTATTTGCGATGGAGTAAATGTTCATTATTATTTTGTGACAAATTTTTTACGAAATTAAATTCCCTAGCAATTTTGCTAAGGAATAATAATTCATAGTTATGTTCCTACAAATCAATTTCTTAGCTGTTTTGATATATAGTAAATTAACCGTTGATGTTTCATTACAAATATGTTAATGAAATAAATTTTGTTGGTATTTTGACGAGTTTCATATGTTTTCTGTACATTTTTGTGCCTAGGAGTTTAGGATTGAGGTCTAGCGGTTATAACCACTAAAGGGTTGTTTGGTAGCATCTGAATTTTTAAAATCTGAATGTTTAAGAGGTTGAATTTCTAAGAGGGTTTGAATTTTTAAGATCTGATTTTTAAAATGTTGTTTGGTTAGAACCTCTGAATTGTTATGCTAAAGAGTAAAAATGACCATTTACCCTTTTCTTAAACGTTATAATAAATATTAATAAAACCATAATTTTTTAAGGAAATCACATTTACATATAAACATTTACCTCTAAAATGACCATTTTACTCATTTTCACCTAAAATTCCAATTTTTGGTACATTCCATACAAACATATATACAAACCTCCCAATTATAGTATTATTTTACATACAAAAATGACTTATCACAAACAAATTGTAGCTATTTAATATTCACAAATGGTCCTAAACATGCATTTTTCAGCTTAAACTAAAGTATAGGTAAATATAATAATAGCAACCAACTTACGTTATATTACAGATATAGACAATTTCCAATAAAAAACATGCAAAATAGCAATCTACTTACCTGTTTATTTATACCAATACACACATACATATGGTTGCACAATCTTTTCTCATCCAAAATTCAAAAGTAACAAGATTACAATGTTTTGTTCCCTCTATGGTCAATGTCAATGGTGACATTTATAACAACAGGCGCTATAACTTCTTCATGGTTTATCCGGTCACCACCATACACACCACCATCGTCGAACACTATCACCAACACATGTAACTTATAACCTAACCAAAGTCCACAAAATCACAACACATTTTAAGATCAAAATTGAAAAAAGAAGCTATATTCATGGAAAAATAAAGAGCAAACCTCGTCTTCCATGACACTGAATCCAAAAGCAGAATCACCTTCGACAGCAGCCATAAGCCGATCGGGTTAAGCTAATCAGGTTAAGCTACTGTTGCAACAATACAATAACCTAAACTAACATCCATTGTACCCCATGTTCCTGTATCTAACCAGGTCCATGGCTCCATTTGAACTAAAACGAATCAACTCACATCCATGGTGTTAGCTACTTCTAAAACGATTATAGGAGAGCATTAATTTCATTAAGAAAGAATTGATTTCAGCCAGAAATCGTAGAATTTCATCTTATCTTGGGAGAGAATAAAGGAAAAATTGAAGAATGGTACATACCTAAAGGCACCTCTGTTGTGCGAGAGCGGAGTAAAATCTATTGGAGGTTAGCACCAGAGGTATAGGAGGGTGTCGCCGGATATACGAAGGGCAGTGTTGGCAACGGATATGGTGGCGCCAACTGGAGGTGAAATGTTTGGAGAAGGATTTCGGGTAGTTGGAGTGTACTGGGAGGGAAAATGGATTGGATGTGAATCCAAGTTTAGAGAGGGTAGAGACGTCAAAAGAGGGATGATAAACATCAACTATCATCCGCCTCCTATTCCCTAACCCAATGGAGCTCTGATTTCTTCTATGTTTTCGCAAAAAACAAACAAGGTTTTGATAGTGGGCAAAATGAGAAAATGGTTAGCAACTTAGCATGGGGGCAAATTTGGCGCCCATATTTTTTGTTTATTTTCATATATTTGATTTTTTTTTTCAAAATTGTAGAGTATCTCTAAAAATATTAAAATTTAATATTCTTTTGTTAACTTAAATTCTTGATATATGATATTTTTTTACAATGTTAGATACATATTTAAGATTTTTTTATAAGATAACTTTTAGTAGCATTATTTTTTAATTAAATTCCCACCTACCCCTACCTTTACCCACCCACCCCTATCCTTATGTTCATAGCTTACCTTACACAGTATCCCTAATCTTAATCCTAACTCTTAGGGTTCAAGAATTATGGATCATCGCTTATGCTTATTACTTATATCTTATGGCTTATGTCTTATGGATTATGACTTATAGCTTATAGCTTGTGGATTATAGCAAATGGCTTAAGGATTAAGGGTTATAACTTAAGGATTATGGTGTATGTCATCCATGGGTATTACCATACTACCACATTGACCCATGACCCATATGTCATGCATGGGTATTACCATGACAATATAAGCAACTACCACATTGACTAATGAAAAATATGTCATCCATGGGTATTACCATAACACTATAAGAAACTACCACATTGACCAATGATTCATATGTCATCCATAGGTATTACCATGACACTATAACCAACTACCACATTGACCCATCACCTATATGGCGTCCATGGGTATTACCATACTACCGCATTAACCCATGACCCATATGTCATCCATGGGTATTACCATGACACTATAATCAACTACCATATTGACCCATGACCCATATGTCATCCATAAGTATTACCATGACACTATAAGAAACTACCACATTGACGAATGATCCATATGTCATCCATAGGTATTACCATGACACTAAAAGCAAATAGCACATTGACCAATGACACATATGTCATCCATGGGTATTATTACTATGACACTATAACCAACTACTACATTGACTAATGACCCATATGTCATCCATAGGATTTATCATGACACTATAATCAGCTAGCACATTGACCCATGACCCATATGTCATCCATGGGTATTACCATGACACTATAATCAACTACTACATTGATCCATGACCCATATGTCATCCATGGATGTTACCATGACACTATAAGAAACTACCACATTGACCCATCACCTATATGGCGTCCATGGGTATTACCATACTACCGCATTAACCCATGACCCATATGTCATCCATGGGTACTACCATGACACTATAATCAACTACCATATTGACCCATGACCCATATGTCATCCATAAGTATTATCATGACACTATAAGAAACTACCACATTGACGAATGATCCATATGTCATCCATAGGTATTACCATGACACTAAAAGCAAATAGCACATTGACCAATGACACATATGTCATCCATGGGTATTAGTATGACACTATAACCAACTACCACATTGACCAATGACGCATACGTCATCCATGGGTATTATCGTGACACTATAACCAACTAGCACATTGACCCATGACTCAAATGTCATTCATGGGTGTTACCATGACACTATAATAAACTACCACATTGATCCATGACTCATATATCATCTATGGATGTTACCATGACACTCTAAGAAACTACCACATTGACTAATGACCCATATGTCATCCATGGGTATTACCATGACACTATAAGCAACTATCACATTGACCAATGACCCATCACCTATATGCCATCCATGGATATTACCATACTACCACATTGACCCATGACCCATATGTCATCAATGGGTATTACCATACTACCACATTGACTCATGACCTATATGTCATCCATGGGTATTACCACGACACTATAATCAACTACCACATGACCCATGACACTATAAGCAACTACCACATGACCCATGACTCATATATCATCCATGGGTGTTACCATGACACTATAAGAAACTACCATATTGACTAATGACCCATATGTTATCCATAGGTATTACCATGACACAATAAGCAACTACCATATTGAACAATGATCCATATGTCATCCATAGGTATTACAATGAAACTCTAACCAACTACCACATTTACCCATCACCTCTATGTCATCCATGGGTATTACCATATTAAACCATGACCCATATCATAACATAGAAATTGCAAGATGAGCCAACTATATTCAATTTGGTATTTTTACAAAAATACCCTTACAAACCTGATCCAACTCAACACCGACGACGTGGGTAATTCTTATTGGTTTATATTAAATCTATATAAAAGTATATATTAAAGTTTTATATATTTAATTTAATTTTTAATAAAAGGATGAAAAAGGAGATCGTATATATAAATCCCAAATTGTAAACATAGAAACCAAACCTTATTCCACCTTTTTTTCGTAGAGCGGGAAAATGAAATTCATCCGCCTCCCAATTTAAGTTTTTAATCTATTTTTTAGGGTTTTCTTGTGTAGATTAGAAGTTAGAACTGTTGGGGAAAAATGAAATAGGGTTATTGGAAATCTGGATCACAAACAAGAATCGTGTTAACACTTTCCTTCTTTGATATTTCGACCCTATATGCCTTGGGTATCACAAATCCAAACTGGGATAATTCCTGATGTAACAATTCTGATTTTAGGCACAAAATCAGAATCAATTTTGAGAAGAAGATGAAGAAGAAAGCGTTTCCAGTTTTCTGTGTTTCAAAAGAGTCGTTATTTTCCCGGATTTATCCACTCAACGGATAAACCAGAACAGTTTGCAACTTTCAGAAAAAACATATTAGTCCTTGAATTTGCATTTTTCAAGAATGACATATTAGTCCTTGTATTGTTCTAAAAAATTTCAGAAAAAATAGATTAGTCCTTGAACCCCGACTTGTCACAGTAGATTAGCGTTCGGTACTAACAATGTTTAGTAAATACAAGTGTGCACTCCCACACCACCTAACTTGTATTATAACTAAAACATTATTTTTGAAACACTTGTTAAATCCATTACACTAAAATATATTTGGTGATAAAATCACCAACAAGAGCCATGTATTCGATCCACCATTTCTTGCTTGTTCAAACTTCAACCCTACCCTTAAATCTAAATCTCTCAATCTCATACTCGATGGTCATATTAGTTTGACCTCTATCCACCAGTCGACTCTCATCGCAGCTCCACCTCCGGTAATCATCATAGGCTTACAGCCTCCACCTGCCGCCTGACGAACCCACCACAATAGCAGACCTTGAATCCTCTGTCACCGACTACTTCGTTGTCTAATCTACCGAAGTTTTCTTGGTTAGCTTACCATTCTAATCTGTTGTTGTCTCATGGCTTAATTTTAGGCCTCATGTGTCTGTTACATAGTTACCTACATCGCTCAAAGTGGCCCAAACCCCGTACCCCATCATTTCGTACCTAATCAATATTGGGGACGTCCAAATCGCTATTTTGGTTCTTCCCGGTACACCAAATTAATCGACCTGGAAACATGAAATCGAGTCTTCTAATCGCTATTCAGAACATCATTTTCCTGAGTGAATCGATGAACCAACAACAATTGAAACGTGAATTAAATGGTTGGGGTCGGCGATTGAATAGCGAGTCGTAACTTTTACTAATCAATGTTTCAGAAAAGTCCAATTTGTCTCCTCGATTTCTTCCAATGAATTTTGTGTTCTGTCGATAATCTTTTTATACAATCATGTCGACATGCATGTATGCTACTTCAATCATCCTAATTTCATCTACCACCTCTGATTTCTATCTTTCTTCTAGTTTTTCTGTGGTTGCCGATTATGGAATTTGGTAGGAAAAACATTTATCAATCTCGACCTACTCAATCTGGTAGTGAGACAGAAGTTGCCCATATTAATGAAATACAAAACTTCATTCCCATCATTTGGTAATCAATTATGTTACTATCTTAGTCTTTGTATTGATTGAGCATATATTCTAGAAAATCAAGTATGTTACTAGTTTTGTCTTAATTAATTGGGTACAAAACTTAATTCATATCATTTAGTAATCAATTATTTGCAATAGTTAAACCTAATTTTAATCTTTGTTGATTTTGCTGAGTTATATTTGCTTTCTATTGACTAGGTATGAGAAGGGAGTTGGCATTTCAGAAGAGTGGATCTTTATGATTATATTCTTGAGCATCCAACCATATCTCGATTTCATGTTGGTAAGCATTAGCTTTTATCTTCCCTGATACAAAAAATTTAGTCACCCTGCAACATGTTTCTCTTAATTTTTGTGCTTTTCAATCCTCGATTAAGAAATCATTACGATCTTGATAATGTCTTTAACATTAGGATTTCAGCATAATCACATACTTTTTTTCTCTGCTAGCTCTCCACTTCAACAAATTTGGTGGTGCTTTCAAGTATGATCTTAGTAGTACACATGGAACATTCATAAACAAGAACCAGGTACTTAAACTTTCATTTCAACTTCATACATCAATACAACTAACTATTGTGTGATGGGCATTCTAATCTTTATATTTTATCCCTTTACACTAATTAGGTGAAGAAAAAGGTGTACATGGAGTTCCATGTTGGTGATGTTCTTCGATTTGGCCTGTAAGTTCTTGCATTTTTATGCTATTCTTATATCATTTTGTGTCATTCGTTTGAATTTAGCATGTATTATTGATTTTGTTTTCTTTACTTACAGTTCAACTAGGTTGTACATATTTCAAGGACCAACTGACTTAATGCCTCCGGTAAGGCCCTTGAACTATCTCATTAACATGAAGCCTATTTAATTTTCATATGATGCCATAGAAGTTCATTAACTGTTTCTTGTTTGTTGTAAAAGGAAAAAGACTTGCAAAGTGTTATAATTCTTAAAATTCGAGAAGAGAAGCGTATCATGGAAGCTTCACTTCTACAAGCAAAAAGAGAAGCACCACTTGCGGATGGTATTTCATGGGGCATGGATGAGGATGTGGTTGAAGAAAATGAGGTTTTTAGTTTTTTTTTAATAAAAAACAGATGTATAGATTCTTTATGTCTAGTTTAGTTACATCATATGTAGGAAAGTAGTACATCATAGAGTGTTGATATTTCCATGTAATAAATATTTTTGTTTTGTTTTATGATATAAATCTTATTCAATTTTTTGATATTTTTCTTTTTATATATTCATTCAAAATAATTGGGAATTAATTTATAAGTTAGTTATCCATCTGTATCTGTCTAGCTTTGCAACAAACATATTCCAACAAAATTGTCTATGGATTGTGTTATGGAAACGTGGCAATAGAATTTGTTACAGAAGCATGCCTATGTAATTTGCTATGGAATCTACTATAGATTATAGACCATGGATTATGCTATGGAACCAAAACCACAAATTTAGCTAAAGAGTGATCACAATGGATTTAGCTAGGGAATCATCACCACGGATTCAGCTAGGGAGTCATCACAACATATTTTGCTAAGGATTCATCACCACGGATTTTGCTAGGTATTCATCACCATGGATTTTGCTATGGATCGACTACAATGGAATTTTTGATGGAATAACTACCACGAAATTCTCAACGGAATCCTACTATGCAATACATGACGGAATACCATCCACAACAGATTTCATTATGTTGTCACATTTGTAATGGAATTATTGTTTCCGTTGCGACACCTTCGCTACAAGGTTTTTTGGGACGGAACTGTACTGTTTCAAATTCCGTAGCTATTCGTCTTTTGCAACGGAATTTCATCCTTTTGCAACAGATTCTTTCCTTATCAAAATCGCATTTTTCTTGTAGTGACCACCTCACGGTGGTGGTTATTGTTCTAGTCCAATCGTGTCCTAGCACTCTAAAAGCAACCCAAACACAACTAAGCACACCGCCACCCAACATGGCGGTTGGTGGTGGCAACCACCACCCCAAGGTGGTAGTTATGAGTTTCTTTTCATTATTCTACTTTATAATTACATTTTACAATGCTTAACCCCAAAAAATTAAACACACACTAAATAGATAAACACACACACTTCTACCTTGTGGTGGTCGACAGTGGTAGATGGTGGCAGCCACCACCTCATGGTGGTGGTGCTAACTTCTTTTCAGATTTCGGCCAAGGGTTTCACACCTACACACTAAATCACACACAGGTACAGAAACAACCACCGAGCAGCTCTTAATCAATCTTGAAGGGGGTTGATGGCGATAGTCAGAGCGGAAACGACAACGTGAATGGTAGCGGCAAGAGGCTAACACTGATGGCTGCTTTGTCTTCAATGGGTACGGGCTGCGCCGCCGGATGACTTGACTGTGGTGGTGGTGCTTCGAGGAACTGAGGGAGAAGAAAAGATGAAGTGAAGCAATAGGAACGGAGGAGGATGGCATCGACACTAGGAGGCTCCATGGCGGCGATGTAGTAGTGACCAGGTGGCGATCTCTTCACCAAGGCGGTGGTTGGAGGGTCTCGGTGGTTCATCCCCATCTACGTGCGATGTTCGGTGACTAAAGTGGTGGCGGCGTTTGAGAGCAAGGAAGATACGATAGTGTAAAGTCTCGCCTGCATCCATGGTTGGCGGTGGTGGCTCACGTCTTTAGCGGAATGGAACATCGATGGCTCGGTGGTCGGAGAAGCCAGAGGGTGGCGGCTGGTGGGAGACAAAAGGGTGGAGAGACGGCGGGTGCAACATACTTCCTAGGGTTAGTGTTTCACCGGGGTGATGAGTTTATATACCCCGATCCCCATAGACTTCTCTCCATAATAACATCTTTGGTCCCTCCCTGCCCTTTTTCTTTCAAAGTGAGTCTGAAATTTACCATTTTAACCTTAGCCATCCAAAAAACCCTTCAACTTAAGGCCTCATAATTACTATGCAACCCCTCCTCTACAAAAACCTTTTCAACTTAGGTCCAGAATTTACTCTTTAGCCCTTGTTTCCATAAATCCTTTCATATTAGGTCCAAATGATACCAAACACCCCCTGTCTTCTAAAAATCATTACAAAATAAATCCCGAAACTTACACTTTTAACCCCCAACTTCTAAAACTGTGACAGTTAGCTCTTCGAGACTAATGTCATGCTATGTAATTATTGATTTTAGGGCTACTATTTATTTATTTATTTATTAAACAAGGTGTTACATATCGTAATTTTCACATAACATTTTTGATCAACAAACGAAATAATTTGGATTATATTTTTAAAAAATGTATTTAAGAAATTCTATTACCAACTGCCATCAACATTGTATAACATAGTGGTGCAGCCATGGCCAGGGGCAGAATAGTCAACTCTAGATCCCATGTTGTCATACAGCCATGCCTTAATCTTATCATCAAATGTGATGCCTCAAATGCTTCTCACAACACCACCAACAATTGTGATAAATTGATAGAAAATTATATTTCACCAAAAATCGGCTAGCCCTCACTTGTGTATCTTAAGTGCCGATTTTGCTAGTATGAGGCTTCTTTATATAGTGTGCACATTAGGGTTACACTATGTAACTCATGACCTATATACATTCCTCATGATCCGTGGGTTTTAACCTTCATGGAGTATCCATGGGTCACTTCATGGGTTTAGCTCAACATGAAGAATCATCGATCATAAGCCCGCTATATAAGAATGAATGATTTACCAAATCAATCCCCATTTATTTAATTAGTATCTCCTGATCACAAAATTAATTCCAAATCAATTCTTGATCAATACTAATTAAATAATATGATTTCATATTAATATATTAGAACTTATAATATATTAGTATATCATAAATATCTTCTTCTTACAAAAGTATATCCAAATTGTTCCGATGCCATGCAACCCAAATGGACCATGCTAAATCGGGTCAAGTACATACCAAATATAGTTATGGACTTAGACACGTTATCCAAAAGTCTCCCACTTGGATAAGTCTAATAACTATAGTTGGAAGTACGACTTCAGGATCCGACCAACAATCGTAGCTCTTAAATGTCTCATGGAACTAAGTTGTGCCATTTTAGATAAATGGTCATATAATCCTTTGTTATCAAGATATCAGTGGGACAAATACATGGAACAACATCGTACTTATTGTCCAGTAGTTTGTTTCTCGATTTCCGATTTGTTTGACATAAAAATTAATCGAACACATCAATTTAGTTCCGACCAGGCCCGACACATAAGTCAAAATACAATCACAGAGGGGCCCAAGATATCGCTTTTAATCGCCTAAGGACGAAAAGGAATAGATAAACTTCGAATCATATGCTTGTACTAACTAATCATCAAATTGTACATAACAACACATTTTATAACATCAAGTTACTGATGCGTTCTCGTACTATCAATGTACAACCAACTCATAGTCAACTACTCATATCTCTTGGTTTGAAGACTTATATGATATTAACATATCACGATCACTCGAGATAAATTCCATGAAGTGATACAAGTGAGCGTGGGTTGAATTCAATACTCAGAACTTATGAGAACTCATGAATGTTGTAGAAATAGTTGCTATGTCTAATACAATTCAGAAAAATCTACAAACCCAATTCATGATAGTCTTATTTCAATACCTACTTCCAAAGTATGATCGATTGTGGATAGTTTGAATAATAAAATTATTCTGTAAGTCAAAACATGCAAAATGAAATAATAGTAAATGATTGACACAATACAGTACCACACTAGTAAATAAAAAAACACCTTTTATTTAAACATCAAATGTCAATTACATTTCAATTATTACAAGTTTCGAAAGATATCTAATTACTAAAACTAATATCATCCTTCAGCCCAATGCGCCTCGCATGCTGTAAATGCTTAACCCTGCACAGTCCCTTCATGAGGGGATCTGTTGGGTTCTCATCTGATAATACCCTCTTTGCCACGAGGAGTACTTCTTCTATTCAATGTCTAATGAAGTGGTATTTTCTATCGATGTGCCTGGATCTGCCGTGATCCCTTGGTTCCTTGGCTAAGGGAACTGCACACTCTCCCTATCACAGAAAATATCCATATGCTCCTTTATATCTGGTACAACTCCAAGGTATCCAATGAAGTTCTTCAGACATATTTCCTCCTTCGCCGCCTCGCTTGCTGCTATGTACTCTGATTCGCAAGTTGAATCAGCTACTGTTTCCTGCTTCGAACTTCTCCAAGTAATTGCTCCTCCATTTAGGGTAAAGACTCAGCCTGACTGAGAGCGGAAATTATCCATGTATGTCTGAAAGATGGCATCACTATACCCCATTACTCTCAAGTCATCACTCCCACCAAGGGTAAGGACCTAATCCTTAGTCCTCTGTAGGCACTTGAGAATATTCTTCATTGCACTCTAGTGATCCTTGTCAGGATTACCTTGATATATACTAACCATGCTCAAAGAAAAGGCCACATCAGGGTGAGTACAAGTCATAGTATACATTATCGAGCCTACAGTGGAAGCATATGGTACTCGACTCCTCTCAGTTTTCTCAGCCTCTGTACTCGGGCTCTGAGTCTTACTCAGTTTGGCGTTACTTTAGATCGATAAGTCACATTTCTTGGAATCCTGCATCCTAAACCTATTCAGCACTTTATCCAACTAGGTACTTTGACTAAGTCCAATTAGTCTCTTACTCTTGTCTCTTAACATATTTATCCCTAGGATATAGGTAGCTTCTCTAAGGTCCTTCATAGCGAAACACTTCCCAAGCCAGGACTTAACCTCCTGCAAGGTTGGGATGTCATTTCCTATGAGTAGTATGTCATCCACATACAATACCAAAAAGCTAACTATACCCCCACTAGCCTTAACATATACACAAGACTCATCCTCGCTCCTCGAAAAGCCAAATTCTTTAACTTTCTCATCAAAACAAAGAGTCCATCTGCGAGATGCTTGTTTTAATCCATAGATGGATTTCTCAAGCTTACACACTCTATTAGGTTACTTTGCATCAACAAAACCCTCTGGATGACTCATGTAAACATCCTCAACCAACTTTCCATTAAGAAAAGCGGTTTTGACATCTATTTGCCATATTTCATAATCATGAAATGCAACTATGGCTAGCATAACCCTAATAGACTTAATCTTCACTACTGGATAGAAGTTTGTTGGATTAGGTGTCTAACTTCATAAGTATTTATGGAATGTACTTGGCCCGGTTGGCATGGTCCATTTAGGTTGCATGGCATCATGACACTTAGATAGACTAAAAGAGAGAAAGGACACTTATGGTTTATTAATATATTATAAGTTCTAATATATTAATAATATTATTTAATTAGTATTGATCAATAATAAATTTAGAATTAATTTGGTGATCAAAAGGAGACTAATTAAATATATAGGGTTGATTGTGTAAATCATCCATTCTTATGTAGTGGGCTAATGATCCATGGTTTATTGAATTGTGTTAAAACCCATAAGGTGCTCCATGGATAGTCCATGGAGGTTATAAACCCATGGATCATGGAATATGAAAATCCATGTCAATTAGGGTTTACATGGTGTAACCCTACTTGTGACACCACTATAAAAGGACCCCATTGGCTACCAAAATCGGCAATATGTGTAGAACAAGAGGGCTAGCCGATTTTGAGTGACAGTGTACTTCTCTTAAAGTTATTCCAAGAGTCATGGTGTTGTGTGAAACATTTGAGGCATCACATTTGGGGTGCTAGGCTCACAAAGTTCTCAAGGAATCCAAGCAACAAGAAAGGTATGTTTTTCCTACTAGCTTTTATGTTTCAAGTTCCCCATGCCATGCTAGATAGGTTAAGAACCTTGGAAAATAAAATTTGCATGTATCTTAATAAAACATAGATCCAAGGTTTCTAACATTACATGTACACCTTAGGAGTGTTAGAATGCTCAAAACACTTCAAAGGTCTCATCATAGTCAACTCTCGGAGTTTGAATAAAGCGCTTCGCAACTAGTCGCGCCTTATAAGTGTGTACCTTTCCATCCATGTCAGTCTTCTTCTTGAAGATCCATTTGCATCCGACTGTCTTACGACCTAGTACATTGTCAACCAAGTTCCAAACTTGATTGTCATACATGGACCGAATCTCTTTACCCATAGCCTCTTTCCATTTGGCAGACTCAGGGCCTGCCATGGCTTCCTTGAAGTTGTTAGGTTCATCCAAATTTATTAGTGTATTATCACTAACAAATGCATCACCTTCCGTAGTAATATGGAAACCATAATAAAAATAATTTGTGCTCCTAACTCTTGTGGAATGCCTCAGAGATACAGACTCATCAATCGACTCAGCATGAATTTCCTCCTCAGGTTGATTACTAGTGTTTGAGGTTCCTTCACCACTTGACTCTTGAAGTTCCTCAAGGTCAATTTTTTGCCCACTGTTTCCTTGGCTTATGAGTTCTCTCTCATGAAAGACTCATCTCCTCTCCACGAAGACAATATTGTCACTCAGTCTGTAAAAGAGATAACCAAAGGATTTTTGTGGGTAGCCGATGAAAATACACTGCTCACTTCAAGG